CTCACTACTTCCTAATGGTCAAGTTGGTCAATTAAGGTTCTAAGGTCAGTTAGTGCTTCATGACGCTGCTCAGCGGCCCCGTATTCTCCTCGTTTCAACACAAGGGATACCAGTACCAACAAATGCGTCACACTAACGTAGCTATTGCTTAGACTATGTCGGTATATCCCGAACAGTTTCCAAAATCTATTGCTACTTACCTAAAAGGTGACCCAAATCCGGGTAGAGGATCAAAACAAACCCAAACAAGGAACCAATAATATAAAGCATGCAAGTCAAACAAAGAAAGCAAGTAAATGTGATCTAGCCCTAAGGTAACCCCACTTTTAAGTTTATTCCCCAGCAGAGTCGCCAGTTCTGTAACGCGGTGGGAGAACTGACTTGGTTATTTTGCATTTGATCGCAAATGTTATGGTTAGCAAGAGTTGCCACCGACTTTTCTGTTATCCAAAAGAAAAGGCTGAAAAGAATAGGAAACACCTTTGAGATGTTTTCTTGAGTTTGGTGGTAGATTATGAAAAGGGAAGGTATTAGCACCCTTTTCATCCATGGTTTTCCATGGGCTCTTAGTTACTTGCTAGATCACTTTCTTTTTTGTTTGAAAATGTGCTTTGTGTGGTTTTTTGAAAGTATTTTGTAAAGATGCCATCTTTTAGGCGAACTTTGTAATGATTCTCGTTCGTAAGAATGTATACAAAATGTTTGATCTTTTGAAAATGTTTTCAAGTTTAAAATATGTTTTGAAAGTCTTGGTGTTTGTTTTAAAATAGAAAGGATGTCTTTGTTTTGAAATTGAGCAAGTAACTAGGAACGTTCTACCTACTCAAAAGTCTTTCATGTTCATTTGCTCTTTCCTTTGACATTGTTATCTTACCATTGATTTGGTAAGTAACCTTATCTTTGGATGTAAAAGGGACGGGTTTGGGTCATCGTATAACCATGATTAGAAATGTTGCAAGATATCTTAGCCTTTTCTTTAGGGACTAAGATCATTTTGAAAGGCAACATGGATAACATCATCGAGGGACTATGATCTTGTAATTTGGTTGTTTTTGCTAAGATACCTCACATACATAATATGGCCATTTTTGTAAGGCAACCAAGTGGATTTACCCTAAGGGTGTAAGTGTGAAAGTGTATTTATTTACATGCTTGATTTGTCTTTGATTAGGATTTTCTATTTGTTGGTTTTAATCTTTCCATACAAAATCCTAATTACTAGCAATTTGTATATAAAGCATTAAATTGCAGAAAATAAAAATACTAAGCTATTACAAAGCTTTAGGGGATGGGGGTACAAATTTATGAATGGGGATTGAAAGAAATTAAAGTCCTAATTATCTATTACAACCATATTGAAATAATGTACAAGAATTGAAATGGACTTGTTTTGTTTTTTTTTTGTTAAGAAATTAGTTTACTTAAGAAAATATTTTGATCTTTTTATTCTAAAAGAAATAAAATAAAACATGTGAATATGAAATATTTTTGGTGTTTTTGGTTATTAAAAGCAAAAATAAGACAAGTGAGAGAAAAAGGAGTCAGAATCAGCACATTGCTGAAACGAGGGGGAACAGAAGTTCTGACTTTGATACGCTGCAAGAGAGAAAATGTTAGTAGGCAAGTAGAAGGTCAGAAGTTTTGGGCCCGGGTACTCCAAGTTCCGAGGTTGTTTGGAACAGAGGAAAACCTAAAAGCTCTGATTGTTGAGGGGGTTTAGAGGCTGTAGTGTAACTAAGAACCTAGTAGTTCATGTATCTATAGCAAGTTAGAGGTTCTGATTGTTTGAGAGAGTGAAGTGATTATGCTGTTAGGTGAGGATATCTAGAAGTTCTGATTTAGGAGTATCGTCTGACAGATAAATGAGTAAAAAATGTTAATAAATAAACCTAAAAAATATGCTTCTAGGGCTAGAACCCAGGACCCTTAACACTAATGTCTTATGCGCACGCTTTCTACCACTGGGGTGGCTATACATTCGGTATTAGAAGCAAAAGCATAAACATGTATCACAAGGTAAACTCTGATGATGAACTCCATTTCTTTCTCCATGTTAATCATAACATCTGCAACTTAGTCAATTCTCAACAGAGCAGAAAACACAAACATAGAAATTATGGCAGGTTTCCCTCATGGTTCTAGAAGCATAAAAAATGTCAAGACTATAAATCAGAAACAAACATGTATCTGTTAGTTCTAGTTTCCTTAAGAAGTTTTGAACCTATGTTCTTCCTAGTTAGGCAGGAAAGTACATACAACTTCAGAATATGTACAGCACCAGAATCAGAATGTCTACATTGTGTTTTAAACATGTAAGTCTAACAATGCTTAAGTGATATGATGAGGGTTAGCAGAAGCTTACCTGGCAGCTGAAAAATGTCCTGTGAGTTGGATTCTGGTTTTGACTGCTTGTAGTGTTCTGATCAGCTTCCTCATGTATTCAGCAGACTGGAACAAACTTTATCTTGGGTTATGAAAGGTGAATGGATGATTTGGTCAAGAAACACTTGAGGGAAAATGGAGTTTGAATGCAAGAATTAAAAACTAGCAGGTTTTGTATTTGTGTTTGCAGTTTAGGATTTCTGGATATTTTAGCAAGGTTTCAAAGCTTTTCCTTTAAAATTTTTTGACCGGTCCCTTCACAGTTTCAGATGAAGTTCAATTTATAGGCAAGAACTTTGTAGCTTGGAGAAGTCAAAAGTATCCACATCATGCTAGCGTGTTAGCTTGTTCTTGAAATAAGATAAACAAGTATGGTGGTTAGCAGCTTTTAGTCATGCCTAAGCTGGATTTGTAAGCATGAATTAAGGAAAAGTACCCTCAGAGGCAAAAGCAAAGCATTGGCCCAGCATAAACTTGTACAAAAGTTTGCTTTTCAAGGACAACAATGGTACTTCTACCTCACACGTTGGGAAATCCTTTGGATAAAAACTCAAAAGTGGTTGTGAGCATTAAATGATGATGAGATTTATCAAACTAGAAATTATGCGCTATGTAATTATGCATCATAGCTTAGATCTGGGCCAGAAGTTCAGCATCAGCGCAATTTAGAACAAAATATACAACTTCTGATCCTTTAATATTTTTGCTCCAGCATGTTCTGAGCGAGTTCTCAGATTTTTCTAAAAGCTTGTAACACGCTTTGTAAATCCTCTTTGAATTGCTCTTGCAAATTCTGACTGGACCTATATGAAAACTGGCCCAGAAGTTCTAACCAAATCCTATTTTGGAAAGGTCGAGAATTTGCTGAAAGCTTCAGTTTCATGGACGCGTCTTTGAAGATTTATATCTTGAAATCCCAGCATTTCTAGGAGAAGTTATGTTCTGCAATGTTTTAGATCTCATTGAAATCTATAACTTTTGTGTCAGAAGTTCTTCTAGAATCAGCTTGCATCATGGTGATAATGTGATCAGAAATTCTGAGCTTGTCATATTTCTTAAACACTTAGAAAAATTCTAAGTATTTAGAAATTTGACTTTTCCAAAGTAATTTTGACTTTTGAATTTCTAGATGAAACAAACTTCATATTTCAACATGCCTTGATGAAATATGGTTTTTGAAACTTGATTTTTGATCCAAAAGTCAAAGTTTGACTTTTCAGTGTGCAAATGACCATTTTGCCCTTATGAATGACTTTCTTGGAAAATTTGTAATTCAAAGTTTGAAATTGGATGGAAGCAAACCTGAGGGTCCAGGATGATCTTTTGAGATATGAGAGGGCAAATTTTGGGGTACAACACACACTACTGCTATAAAATAGGGATCATAATGATCTTCTGTAATTCTTCACATCTCTATGAGTCATTTGGAAAAAGTTGTCATGATGACCATAACGTCACAACAGTTAGAATCATTGTTGAGTAGAATTATTCAAAAAAATGGCCACTTCACCATGTGTTCAAACAGACATTTTTGGGGGGTAATTTGTTAGCTGGGGTTTCGACGACCAAGAGAATTTGAAATGAAAAGTGAATATAAAGAAAAATATTTGAAAGAAACAAGAAATTTCAAATGAAATTCAACCAAGTTAAGATTCCAGCTAAAAGCCCTATGTATACAGGGTAGCGATGGCTTGCGACATAGAATATTTTGGAGCTCAAGTTGGAATAGTGTTTGACAAAATCATCCAAACAAAGATTCCAACAAAGATAGTTTTGAAATAAGGCTGATTAATCATCTTTTGATCTTATCCAATTTGCAAGGACGCGTGAAATCCGGAGAAGGTCAAATTACATGCAGAAGAAGGTGTGTAATCCTCAAAGGAAATGACCTTTTGTTGCTGTCAACGTCGAATTAGTATAAATAAAGGTCTTATGACTAGGTTTTATTATTCACATTACATCAAAACTCACAAATACTCGAAGTATCTAAGCGTTATTGAGAAAAGAGTTGTATGAGAAATGTACATATGAATCACTTTTTTTTATTCAATACCAAATTACTTATTTTAACATCATTTTCATTACTTTACATTTCCCGTCGAAATCTATTTACATTCCTGTATTGGTTATCAATCATTCTCGTATTACTTTTAAAATTCACGTTACTATTGAAATGATTATCACCAAGAACACCTAAGAAATAACTACACATGGTCTTCATCATTATCAAATTAGATCTTCATCAACTTCAACATCATCGTGCTTCAATTTTCATTCACCATGCAATTGTATCAACTTCATCGCGTTCTAACAATCTCTCTTCACATTGTCAAAGTCTTCATCAACTCTGCATCTTCAATTATCATCATCCTTCATCAGAACATCACGATTCTTCATAACTCTCGGCAAGCTTTCTACAACACTTCAATCTTTATCACATCTTCATGTAGCTTCAACCTTTGTTCTTTATCTATAACAATAACACAACAACATCACGAATCTATGATTCATAATGACAACTCAAAACGAAGAAAGTAGAAGAAGATTGATTCAAGAATCCATATACCTTGATAACCGGATAAGACAAAGATCTCGCGGAAGCAATTCGACGAAGAAGGTTAAGGAGAATCGGTACCATGATATGGAGAAACGGAATGGATAAATGATGTGAAATCACGATTTGAAGACGGGAGGGATGGGAGTATATTCTTGAAGCCATCGACGCTGAGGCGAATCAGACAGAAACAAATCGAGGCAAAACAAAGACGGTTAGGAGCTTGGTCGTGTCGATCAGAGACAAAGGCAGTTGTCGGCACCATGATCTATTTTGAAGAGGAAGCTAGTTTGAGTTATCAAAGGAGATGAACAACCATTTGATTTTCAACCCTAATCTCTTTCTCACAAAACTACACCATTCAGTATTCTTGCATTTTTATTTAAATCCTGTTGTTTTAGTTTAACAAAAAGATAAAAACTGAATATATAAATCTGGTGAATGGTTGTTAGATCTTCGTCTGCATGGGCCTGAACCAAAACCTCTGAGCCCAGGGCGAATTTTTGAAGCAATTGTGAAGTTTTACACAAAAATTGGCTATGGACCTTGTAGCAGATCGGTCTGAGTGCCCAAGCCTCATTTCTAATCACCATCCTAATTTTAATTCTACATCCCCTGTTTAGAGTTGTTTCTAGGTTTCTTACCTAATTGTTTTTCTTTCATAATTGTTGACAAGAAAATATATAGTGATAACTAAATATACTAATTAGTAAGAAGATATAATTTGTTTTAGGATTTATCTCTTAAGAATTCAATTAGGATTTTTCGTATAAATTTCTTTAATTGTTTTTAGCTAATTTGTAAATATAAATATGGTTATCCTTTTGTTTGTAATTTATGATACTAGCAAGGATTGATCCATGATACTTGTTGGAATGATTGTGTGATAATATTTTGGTAATATTGGTAAACAAAAGAGACTTGTCGAAGAGGTTTCAAGAGGTTTTTGAAGCAGGCTAAGAGCGCAATCTTCATCGAGGAAGTTTTCGATGGAGGTTTCTTATCGCTTTCATGGCGTTGAAGAGGCAACAGACCTTTCTCTGTTTGGTATCACTTGAGATTTCTTTAATATTTGATCCTTGCATAGTTTTCAATTTTCCTTTCCATGAGAAGTAGGAATAGAGATGCATGATTGGGAGTCCCTACTTTAGGTGGGCAATGTTGTTTTAAAAGACCTTTAGAAGGATATTCCTACTTGTGCTTGCTTGTTTAAAGTCCTCGACGAAGGCGATTCTGTGTGTTTATATTTGTGTCAAAGACCTCAAAGATGGCATTCCTATTCCTATTCCCCCTTTATGTAAAGACCTCAATGAAGGCATAAGATGAAGTATGGGTCCGCAATCGACCCCTGCCATTTCCAGTCTCGAGGTCATTCTTAGCTCACTTTATACGTTGATGCTTCGAATTATTCTACTCTTGGTTATCGAGTCGGTCAAGTGAAAAAGGGTTCATAATCAACCCCCACAGTTTGTCTTCAGCTCGTGTTCATAAAAGTTGATTCTTTGATGTGATATCATTATTGTCTCCTACTCCTACTTTGGTGACACGGTATCTTGGTTAGGTGTTTATTCGCCTATGACGATTCACTTTCATTCTTCTCTTGCCTAGATGACTAGATATCTTGGTTAAGGGTCGAAACCCCCTATTCTTCTTGCCTTGATGACATGATATCATGGTTAAGAGCTATTCATTCCCCCATTTTTCTTTCCTGGATGACTCGATATCTTGGTTAAGCCTCCCCTTTATCCTACCTTGATGACACGATATCATGGTTAGCAGTCCTACTTTCCTTATCCTACCCTGATGACATGATATCATGGTTAGGTGTCATCCCTATCCATATCCTACCTTGGTGACATGATACCTCGGTTAGGGTTATGCTACTTAAGTGAGTGGACACTCCTCAAGCTTTGTGTGTTTGCTTTCTATTGCATGATCACGTTTTCCCCATAGGATTTAGTTCACTCTATTTTAAGTTTGAACTAAATAAACCTTAGGTTAGCTATCCATACATAACAATATTAGGTAGATCTCCCTCTTATCCCAACTTTAGATCCATAATCATGATAAATTATAGGATTGAGATCCCCTTTTGTTAGTCTTTTTTTTGCATCCATGCTAAAACTAAAACTTCTTCTTTTATCTTTCAAACTTCAAAACACTTAATAAATAAATGATTAGAATCACACTTCCTTTAAGCGATGGAAATGATAAGTGGGTTTCTTCTCGGTCTTATCATTCTTTTATTCTTAGTATTTTGTGCGATTCAAATCTCAAATACTCTTTTCATTAACAAGTGGAGAAATGACAAATAACTCTCTCTTGATGTCTGATAGCTATTATTCACAGCAAAAAATACTAACCAATTCAAACCTTTTGCCTTCGGGCCGCCTTCGGGCTTCTCTTTTGAAAACCTTTTCATAAAAAAGGATGTGTTATTTCTACTATGCGCAATACGACGCGTGATTCCCCAAAGGTTGAGTTGCAATATGTCAAGTGCTAGAGTGCAAATGTAATATTATCCGCCTAAAAAACACATAACAAACTATAACACCTTTTTTAGTGAACTACAATGTCTTAATCCCCATTGCACAGACGCTGGTACGTAGACACAAAGGTTCACAACTGAGGCAGGCACAACTGATAAAAACTTTATTTTTGTATATACTTTACATTCATTCCCTTAGCATTAGGATTTATATTTTGATACACCATTAGATTAAAACAAACTTTAGTGGATCTCGTGGAGTATCACGGATGTGAGGGCTGCTAATACATTCCCCTTGTGTAATTTACTTCTTAACCTTTCTCTTGGTCGCGTGACCATGTTCTTTCCTTCCTTTAGGTTTACTCAGCGTTTTTGTTCCCTCTCTTGGGATAAATAAAATTGGTGTTGACTCTTCTTTTTCGCCACGTTCGTGCTTTGATGAAAAAACATATAAGCTTTGTACAAAAACTGCAACCATTAAAAATATTAGAGATATATTGCAATTACAGATCATCAAATATTACAACTCCTTCAAACTCTGGATATCAGATGTTAGGACATGTGGTATGACATCATACAACACAGCTCCAACCACAACACAAGAGCTAGACAAACTCAAACTGGTCCATTACATTCCTTGTCACATATAACTAGTACTCCCCCTCAAGGGAAAACTCAAATCACCAGAAAATCCAAAATACCAAATCAATATAAACTATCCAAGTTCACACATCAGAGGCACATGCAACAGAAGAAAAATAAGCAGCACAACATGATTTTCTCATTAGGAAAGATGTCATAACATCAGGTAAGACATCATGCAGACATCAGTATTAGCAGCAGCAACAACAACACCAATAATAAGCATGATAAACATCCATCAATACTACTATCCAACTTTGCCTTGCATAATTCTTTCAACGTGAAAGTTGTGCTGTAAGAGTAAGGCACACCATAAAAACATGTTCCAATGATGAAATTCAATATCTTCTTTTCTTGAATAATAGGACTCATCCTTGGTTCAAGCATATAGACAAGACATGAATTTGACATTTCCTCAGTGATGTCACCTTTATTCAAGTGTCTTATAATGAGCTCCTTGGATTGACCTCTAGTAGAGTGACCTTCACTGACTTGAGAACTCACTGATTCAGTGTTAGTGAATTCACAAATTACTTCCCTTAATGCCTCACTAGTCTGCACACAAGATGTTCCAATATTGTCTTTGACATCCATCTTCTCTTTAGTAATTGAAATATAAATTACCATATTTATGAACTCCATTGTAACTCCATGTATAGAGTTAAACATTGTATAAGTCCTGCTACGTAAAGAGTAACCAATGAATGTCCCTTCATTAATTATCGGATTCATCTTACCCTTTTGGTCTTTGCCAGTCAAGACATAACATTTACTTCCAAAGATATGAAAGTATTTGAATTTAGGCTTCCTTTCTTTCCATAGCTCATAGAGAGTGGTTGAAGTACCTCCTCTCAAAGTGAATCTATTATGAATATAACAAGCAGTATTCATAGCTTCAGCCTAAAACTCCAATGACGATTTCTTAGCATGAAGCATGACTATAGCTTATTCATGTATAGCTCTAGTCTTTTGCTTAAAAATTACATCTTGCTGAGAAGAGATTGAATAAGACAATTCATGACTAATACCTTCACACTCACAAAGTTAAGATAATTTTGCATTCTCAAACTCCTTGTCATGGTCACTTTTAACCTTGATAATCACACTATTCTTCCTCTCTTGAATGCTTTGACATAGATCTTTGAAGACTTCAAAAATAAATGATTTTTCTCTAAGAAAGTTCATCCAAGTATACCCAAAAAAATAATCTATAACCCCAAAATTTTCCCTCCCATATTTCTCAACACATGGCAAGTGAGGTCCCCAAATGGCTCAAGAAAGTTCAAGAGTTGACCAGACAAACTCTCTCCTAAGGCAGTATACCTCAAATTAGAGTTTCTATTTTCATCAAGATGTGTGAACCACAAAGGACTCAAATGCTCACCATTGTCCTAATATGTTCCCAAGATCATCCATGTCAAGTTTCAAGCCTTGCAGAAGAAGTTTGCTCAGTCAATTGCTCAAATGCATGAAAATCAACTATATTAGGTCTAAAGTCAACTGTGGCCCACATATAGTCAAACTTCAAGATTTTTTGTCAACATACTAATTTTAAAATATTATTCATCATTTGATCAAGGGTTGATCATTATTCCTCAAGGATTGCTCACAATTCATCAAAACCAGAGAGTTGCTAAATTAGGGTTTTGTAGGAAAAGTCAACTCAACTTTGACCAAACATAACTTTCTCATATTTTATCAGAAATGACCCGTCCAAATATAATTTTTAATAGGATGCAATTCCCTACAGTTCATTTTCGGCTCCCAAGTTCAGAATATGCACTCACAAAAAGATATGAATTTTGACATTATAGGTCCTTTTGAAAAGTCAACAAAAACACCTTTTGGGTCAAAACTTCATACATGAACATGGAAGACTCAATTGATATGAAATTAAAAGGGTTGCCTAGAGGACATCCTAAGCTTTCTAAAAAGTCAAAGAACACCTATCTAGGGTCAAAATTGAGAGAGTTATGCATTGGCCAAGTTGACCATTTTTGCAAAATTGCCAAAAGTCAAATGTGCTCAAATTTGCATTTTTTGCTAAATGGGCCCAACTTTTTATGCTTGCACCTCAAATATAATGTGGTCCAAGACTCAAATGTTCACTCACCAATTATGTGCTTCATTTTTCA